GACCCTGCAGGGCCTGGGACAGGGGCGTGAGCGGTGAAACCACACCTGGTGCATTGCAGAGAACTAAAGCTGTCAGAGCCCCTGCAGCTACAGAGACAACATCCAAAAGCTGCAGGGACAGAGAAAAAAGGCAGAAACTGCTTCTCTTCCCCCACACACAGACCAGCTCAGTGGGAGAAGAAAGTTTTCGGTTGTATCTTTTCTCTACTTCTAGAAAAAATCTTAGCAGTTTTTCTTTTTTTCCTTGTTCTCTTTGTATCTCTTAGCAATTATTAAAGTCAGGTTTTGGTATCGACAGATAACTTGTGTGAGTTTTAATTTTGCTCAAGGGAATGTTCGAATCTGAACTTCTTTCTGCAATATTTAGGCAGATTTTAACAGGGGACTATGGAAAAGTGGGAGGCACAGGGACAAGGGTGGAAAAAGGGGAAATGCTCTGGACAGTGTGATGGTACCATGGGGGTCTTTGGGCACAAGGGGGTTGGGAATGGGGGATGGCCCCCCTGAGCTCCCAACTGACTGTGGGGTGCTGGGGCTGCTGGATCCAATCTCAGCCTTGGGTTATGCCAACACCTTCAGTTCAGAGCAATTACAGAGGTGGGACTGAACCACTTTTGTGCCCCAGGTTATAAGGATGGCAAATCACTTCTATTGATAGAAATGAATTATTTAGGGTTAGAAATGATCAGATAAAAGACCTTCATCAGAATTATTTACTGCACAATAGAAACACTAAAACTACCAGTAGGACAGGATAAGATAGGTCAGTGCTCTACACTAAAGCAATTGTTGAAGCAATTCTACTCAAGCTGGCACCAAAGCAAGAATTATTCATTAGAGATGGATGGAACTCCCCCAGACCAACGCTCGTGGGGAGATCTCTGCTCTCAACCTCCAGCACTGACCTTGGGGGGTCCCAGCCAAGGCAGGAATCTCCACACACCCCCCAAGAAGGGTTCTGTTGGCCCAACCTGCCCCTGGCAAAGGGGACTGGCCCTTTGTGGTAGAAAGGGGTGGACTGACAGTCACTGGACTCCAGGGGTTGCCTCACATTCAGGGGGGTCATTCGGAGTGGGAGCAGCGGCCGAAGCTCTTCCCGCAGTCGGGGCACTCCTGGGGCTTTTCTTACTGGTGGGTTCGTTGGTGTTGGGTCAAGGCAGAGCTCCAGGTGAAGCTCTTCCCACACTCCCCACACTTGTAGGGCCTCTCCCCGGTGTGGATGCGCCGGTGGGTGACGAGGGTGCATTTTTGGTTAAAGCCCTTCCCGCAGTCGGTGCAGCGGAAGGGCCTCTCCCCTGTGTGTATCCGCTCATGCAGGAGGAGATTGGAGCTGGTCTGAAACCTCTTCCCACATTGCAAGCACTTGTAGGGCCGTTCCCCAGAGTGGATGACCTGGTGTTTGATCAGGGTGGAGCTGTGCCTGAAGCACTTCCCACATTCCCTACATGTGTAGGGCCGTTCCCCAGTGTGGATGTGCTGGTGTCGGATCAGGTCAGTGCTGTCCCTGAAGCTCTTCCCACATTCCAAGCAATTGTAGTGCCGTTCTCCAGTGTGGATGCGCTGGTGGGCGATCAGGGTGGAGCTCTGGTTGAAGCTTTTTCCACATTCCCTACATGTGTAGGGCCGTTCCCCAGTGTGGATGAGCTGGTGCTTGAGGAGCTGGGTGCTCACCCTGAAGCTCTTCCCACATTCCAAGCACCTGAAGGGCTTCTCCCTGCTGGGAGGCTGCTCAGGGACCACCAGCTCGGAGCTCCGGCTCAAGCTCCGGCCGCCTTCCCGGCACAGGACGGCTCTTTCCTCCTCACAGCTCCCTGGGCTGGCTTTGCAGCCCCTCCTCCGGGGGCATCTCCG